TTTCTGTTGTCATAACTTTGTGATCTGGGAAGTTTGTTGTTACAGGTTCAATCTTTTTGAATTTGCTAAGCCTCTTTTTGTCACCTAGTATGTGATCTATTCTGGATAGTGTTCCATGTGCACTTGAGAAGAATGCGTATTCTGCTGTTTTTTTGTGGACTGTTCTGTAGATGTCTGTTAGGTCCATCTGTTAATGTGTTCTTCAGTGCCGTTATCTCCTTACTTATTTTCTGTCTGATTTATCTCCCCTTTGGAGTGAGTGGAGTGTTGAAGTCCCCTAAAATGAATGCATTGCATTCTATTTACCCCTTCCAATTCTGTTAGTATTAGTTTAACATATGTAGGTGCTCCTATGTTGGGTGCATAGATATTTATAATGGTTATATCCTCTTCTTCGACTGACCCCTTTGTCATTATGTAATGTCCTTTTTTGTCTCATTACTTTCTTTGAAGTCTATTTTGTCTGGTATAAGTAGTGCAACTCCTTTTTTCTCCCTATTAGTTGCATGAAGTATCTTTTTCCATCCCTTCATTTTTAGCCTGTGTATGTCTTTGTGTTTGAAGTGAGTTTGTTATAGGTAGCATATACATGGGTCTTGCTTTTCTGTCCATTCTCTAGCTCAGTGTCTCTTGATTGGTGCATTCAGTCCCTCTTACATTTAGGTTGATTATTGACTGATATGTACTTATTGCCATTGCAGTCTTTAGATTCTTGGTTACCAAAGGTTCAAGGGTAACTTCTTTACTACCAACAGTCTAACTTAACTCAGTTAGTATGCTATTTCAAAGACAATCTAAATTGTATTCTTTTTCTTTTTATTCCTCCTCTAGTCTTTTTCTTCCTCCTCTACTTATATATTAGGTGTCATAGTCTGTACTCTTTATGTATTCTTTGATTGACTTTGTGAGTAGTTGATTTAATTTTTCATTTGCTTAGTAATTAATTGGTCTACTTCCTTTACGGTTGTTTTATTTTCTCTGGTGACAGCTATTTAGCCTTAGGAGCACTTTCATCTACAGCAGTCCCTCCAAAATATACTATAGAGACAGTTTGTGGAAGGTAAATTCCCTAAAGTTTTGATTATCTAGAAATTTTTTAGTCCCTGCTTCAAATTTAAAAGATAATCTTCCTGGATAGATTGTTCTTGGTTCAAGGTCATTCTGTTTCATTGCATTGAGTATATCAATCATGCCATTCCCTTCTGACCTGTAATGTTTCTGCTGAGAAGTCTCATGATAGCCTGATGGGCTGTCCTTTATGTGAGATCTTTTTTCTCTCTCTGGCTGCTTTTAATACTCAGTCCTTATCCTTGATCTTTGGCATTTTATTTATTATATATTTGGTGTTATCTTTCTTGGGTCCCTTGTGTTATTTCTATGGCCTGAGAGACTATTTACTTCTCCTGATAGGGGAAGTTTCCAGCAGTTATTTCTTCAAAGGTGCTTTCTATCTCTTTTTTTCTCTCTTCTCCTTCTGGTACCCCTATAATGTGCATATTGTTTTTATTTGGATTGGTCACAGTTCTCTTAATAATCTTTCATTCCTAGAGATTATTTTTTCTCCCTCTCTGCATCAGCTTCTTTGTATTCCTGTTCTCTAATTTCTTTTTTTTGGTATCATTAATGTAAAATCCCATGGGCAACTACTAATCTTGTAGTTACTAGATTCCCCCCATTATCAAGTCCCTACCACATACCCCAATACAGTCACTATCCATCAGCATAGTAAGATGCTATAGAGTCACTACTTGTCTTCTCTGTGCTATACTGTCTTCCCTGTGCCCCTGCTATGTTATGTGTGCTAATCGTAATATCCCTTATTCCCCTTCTCCCTCTCTTCCCACCCACCCACCCGCAGTCCCTTTTTCTTTGGTGACTGTTAGTCCATTCTTGCGTTCTGTGATTCTGCTGCTGTTTTGATCCTTCAATTTTTGCTTTGTTCTTATGCTCCACAGATGAGTGAAATCATTTGGTACTTGTCTTTCTCCTCCTGGCTTATTTCACTGGGCATAATACCCTCTAGCTCCATCCATGTTGTTGCTAATGGTAGGATTTGTCATCTTCTTATGGCTAAATAATATTCCATTGTGTATATGTACCACATCTTTTTTATCCAGTCATCTACTGATGGGACACTTAGGTTGCTTCCATATCTTGGCTGTTTTAGATAGTGCTGATATAAACATAGGGGTGCATATGTCTTTTTCAAACTGGGATCCTACGTTCTTAGGGTAAATTCCTTGGAGTGGGGTTTCTGGGTCAAATGGTATTTGTATTTTTAGTTTTTTGAGGAACGTCCATACTGCTTTTGACAATGGTTAAACTAATTTACATTTCCACCACCAGTGTAAGAGGGTTCCCCTTTTTCCGCATGCTTGCCAGCATTTGTTGTTCCTATTCTTTTCTATGTTGGCCATCCTAACTGGTGTGAGGTGATACCTCATTGTGATTTTAATTTGCATTTCCCTGATAATTAGCGATGTGGAGCATGTTTTCATGTGCTTGTTGGCCATCCAAATTTCTTCTTTGGATAAGTGTCTGTTCATATCCTCTGCCCATTTTTCAATCAGGTTATTTGCTTTTTGGGTGTTGAGGCATATGAGTTCTTTATGTATTTTGGATGTTATCCTCTTGTCGGATATGTCATTTACAAACATATTCTCCCATTTTATAGGATGCCTTTTTGTTCTCCTATTGTGTAAATTTCCGTTCTGTTTACCGTCTCCTCTACCTTATCTAATCTGCTTTTAAATCACTCCATTTTATGTTTCATTTCAGCTACTCTATTTTTTAAAGTGTCTGTCTCCCTCCTTAATTCATCTGTTAGCTTTTGAATATTTTTCTGTTGCTCCATTAGAATGCTTATGACATTTATTTTGAAATCTTTTTTCAGGAAGATTGGTGTTTTTAGTCTCACTGAGCCCTCTTTCTGGTGTTTGAGGAATCTTGGATTGAAGAAGGTTCTTCTGCCTTTTCATCAACTTATTGGAAAGTGAGAAATATTAGGTTGTGTAGGGAGCACTCTTTAGTGGTCAAAAGCTGTGGTCTTTGGAGCTGCCCAGTACCTGCAGTGATTGCAGTAGTTGCAGGCAAGCTGTGCCGATGCCTACCCTAAAGAGTGTCCTTTTTCCTGCTTTCTGGCCACCGTGCCTGCCTCTGCTGTCAGGGCCAGAGAGGCATGGGCATGGAGCAGACTGTGAGTTAATCCCCTAAGCTGCTGTGAGTGAGTCTGCCCTCAGGATGGCCAGGAGTGGTGGTGGGGGTCACATGTGAGTGGCGCCAATGTCTGGCAGGAGGAAAAATCCCTTTCCTGCTTCCCAGCCACAGTGCCTTCCTCCACTGACAGGATCAGTGAGCCGCACGCAGGGAACAGTCTCTCCCTTAAGGCCCTGAGGTGCTGTAGGCAGGACTGCCTTCAGGCTGGCCTGGAGCGATGGTGGGGTTTGCATGTGAGCAGTGCCGGTGCCTTCCGGGAGGACAAAGTGCTTTTCTGCTTCCTGGTTGCAGCGCCTGCCTCTGCTGTCAGTACCAGTGAGCCAAGTTCAGTGAGCAGCCTCTGCCTTAGGCTGTGTAGTTGCTGTAGGCGGAGCTATCCTCTGGCTGGGGGTTTGCATGCAGGTGTTGTTGGTAGCGGGGAGGAAGAAGCATCAGGCTGCCTATTGTGGTGGGGAGCCTCAGGGCTGCATTGCTAGGTATGGGGATGGAGTGCCTGAAGCTCCTGAAATTTCACAGCCTGTTGGACTGAGTGTGCTGGGACGATTTTGTCTAACTGTTCCTTCTCCTTAATCCTTGCCCCTTTAGCAGCCCTCTCACTGTTGGGGAGCCTTTCAAAGTGCCTGCCTTTCTTTTGTCCCAGGGCAGCTGGTTGTGGGAATGTGTTCACAGTCTCATTTTCTGACTTTGGTTTTCAATCCCTCTAATCTCCAGAGCACTATGCAATGTGCGTTTGTGCTCCCGGAGTAGATTTCTATGACTGGATATTAGCAGTCCTGGGCTTCTACTCTCTACCTGCTCTGATTCTCTTCCTCCCACTGGTGAGCTCAGGTTGGGGGACTTCTCGGGTCCCAGTGGGTTGCAGCTTTATTACTTTACCCTTTTCCATGAGATGCTCTCTTTTCCCAGATGTATACTGGCTGGTGCAATCATATTACTGGTCACTCCTTTAGGAATAATTGTATTTGCTGTATTTTTGTATTATCTGTGGTTTTTAGGAGGAGAGTTCTGCCTCATATCTTACACCACCATCTTTTTCTTTTTTCCTTCCTCATTGATTTATTAAACTAATTTCTGGAAAGCCTGGTCAGTGCCAGGCACAGTTTGAGGTACTTGGTATCCATTAGTAAACAGAAAGTAGTCACTCATGATAGGCCCTTGGATAGGCCCTGTGTTTGTGAAGCCTATATTATGGAGGAAATGACAGAAAATAAATTAATAAATAGGTAAATTATAGAGTATGTTGGAAGGTGAGAAAACACCATGGGGTGGGTAAGCAGAATAGGGTAAGGTAATAGAAATATTTTCAATTCTAAGAAAGGATGGTGAAAGGCTTCATTGAGAATATGTCATTGAAAGAATGTCCTGAAGAAGGTGAGGGAGTTAGCCATTTTAGCTACCTGGGGGAGGAGTGATCTGGATAGAGAAAACAGCCATTGAAAAGGCCTTAAGTTGGGAGCATGTCTTGTATGTCCCAGTAACAGGAAGTCAGTATAGTACAGAGTAATAGTGGATATGATCACAGATGATAGGGGAGGGCAAATTGTTTAGAATCTTATAGGACATTTCATTGTTAAGACTAGCTCTTTGTGTGGCGTGGGAAGTCATCTGAGGGTTGTGATACTTAATACAGATTTTAAAACAGCACATATGTCTTCATGAAAATCACTTAGAGATTTCATATTATTACGTCTTTGATTCATCACTTCATATCTGCTTAATAGGAGTGGAAGCCTTTTTTTTTTTTGACAGGTGTACTTAGTATTATAATATTTTTCTCATTTCAGAAAGATCCAGATTACCTGAAGCTATGGTTGGATAATTTTGTTTCTAGCTATGAACAGTTTTTAGATATTGACTTTGAAAAGCTGCCTACCAGGTATGTAAAAACACTTAGTTTCTTACCCTTGGGTGAGTTTGTTAATTTTTGGCACTAAGACTTCACTGACAACATATTACAAGGATGGCAGTTATGTGACATACATGATACTTCTGCATAACCCTTCTCTCATGGCAGACTTTGCTAATTGATCACAGTAGTCTTTCTTGCTAATACTAGACTTGGCTTCTAGAAATAGAGAAGGCTGCTTTGGTGAACTACTAGCAACTGGGTATCCTGCAATTCACTTCAGTTTTGACGCTAAGTACCTGGAGTTACCACCAGATCCCACAAATAAAGGGCAAAGCCCTCCAACAAGTCTGCTGTTAATTCAGATACCAGTTACAAATCTTGGGAACCACCCATACTTCTGACCAACTGGCTATAAGTTTGGGAATTCTCATGACTGTCGTTCAGGTTCAACAGTTTACTAGAATGACCCGCAAAACTCACTGAAAGAACTTATGGTTTGGTGGTATTGTTATTATTATTATTATTATTATTATTATTATTATTATTATATTATTATTATTATTATTATTATTATTATTATTATTATTATTATTATTATTAAAGGATGTATGTAGGACTGGGCCTGGAATGATCTCAGCTGAGGGCTTCCATGCTCTCTCCCCATGGAGTCCAGATGTTTTAGTCTTTGAACATCATTTTGTTCAAATAAGGAAGCTCTTTTAGTTTAGGGTGTCCAGAGTTTTATTGGCTCTTCTTACATCATTGACCATGTGATGGGGCTGAGCTTCAGCTCCGCTTATCTCCTACTAAGTTGGGGGAATGGATCTTTCTGATTTGGCTAGCCCTCTCTTGAAACTAAGAGCCCAGCATCATGAGTCACTTTATTTCTATAAAATTTCTTTATTATTCCCAGGCATGATAAGGAGTTGAAGCTTACTTCTATTCCGGGCCTTTGAAAACATCTTAGGAGTGGTGAAGTGTTCAGGTTTTTAAAACTATATTTAAAAATCATAAAATGGGGTAAAAATCTCAATCTTGTGGAAAAGTCCAAATGAAAGTACAAGTCTTTTCTTCCATTCTTCTGCCTACCACTATTTCCCTACTCCCAAATAAAGTTGTAACTGTATCTCAAACATATTGAAGACCAAATAGTTATTAGATAAGAGAGGTTAGAGTGACTAGGGTAAAAAGCTGGAGAAATGAGGAGACATTTATAGCCATCAGATATGTTGAGAGGGGAGGGGAAAAATGGGTGGTGGTTGATGATGAGAAATAGTATTTTGAGAATTAAAAATCATCGAGGAGGGAAGTGTTTTTTCAGTTTAGGGATGGAGATAGGCAGTAAGCAGGTAAGCACAGGTGAGTTGAGTCTGCAGAATCAAATAGGGACTAGAACATGAAATGCCATGCCTGTATTGCTAATGACTGATTTTTTGTTATGGATGATATGAGGCTCTACAAAAACATTTTCTGCATGAGAATGTTATAATTAAGTTTGGTTTTTAAAAGTCACTTTAATGGCATTATGGTTGTTGGATTACAAGGGGTTGAAATTGAAGGCAAGAAGTTAAGAGGTAATTGTAATTCAGAGAAGAAATCATTAGAGTTTTGAACCAAGGCTTGAACTTAAGAAAGAGTGTGGTCATGCTGAGAAAGCACTAGTGCTTCATTATTTATAAATACAGTTTTAGAATTCTTCCTCAAGATTATTTGTAACAGGTTTATAAAGACTGGAAAGTATTAAGACTTGAACTCAAAATCAGATTATGTATTACATAAGATTATGTATTATATATGTATACATAAAAACACATTATTGTAGTTTGTGCTTAGAAGTGTTATTTTAATAATGCACAGCTCACTTTAAATACCCTCCTAAGGGTTTTATGGAGTCAGGATTTGGGACTTTGAATGCTTGGAATATTGAAATGATATCTTCCAAAGTTTATATAAGATGCATTTATTATCTTCTGTACATTATAATTGTCTCCTTTCTTGGGAGGTCATTTATAAAAACATTATGTAGACTTATATAGCCACCATAGCTAAAATAAGATGAAGAACACCAACGGCATTGCTTTATTCATGATTTAGTTGGTTTACTTAAAATTGTAGTTCATCTTTGTCAGAAAGTGTACCATGAATTTAGATTTTACTAGTAGAAAACCTCAAATTTTTAATTGAATACAGTGTTGAAGACTTATAAAACTGGTTTGTTCACCTTAAGATAAGAAACTCATAGATAAAAAGTATCTAAGAACAAAACCCTTGGCTCAGATTGCTTCATGTCTGAATTTTATCAAACACTTAAAGAACTGCTAATACCATCCTCCATCAAGTATTCCACAAAGTTGAAGAGGAGGGAATATTCCCAAACTCATTGTATGAGGCCAGCGTCACTCTAATACCAAAACCAGACAAAGACACCACACAAAAGAGAATTGCAGACCAATATCCATGATGAACATAGATGCAAAAATACTCAACAAAATAATAGCAAACCCAATTCAAAAATATATCAAAAAGATAATCAATCATGACCAAATAGGATTTATTCCAGGGATGTAAGGATGGTACAATATACGGAAATCCATCAACATCATACACCACATCAACCAAAAGGACAAAAATCACATGATCATCTGAATAGATGCAGAGAAAAGCATTTGACAAAATTCAACATGCATTCATAATAAAAACTCTCAAGAAAATGGTTATAAAGGTTAAGTACCTCAACATAATAAAGGCCATACATGACAAATCGACAACCAGCATTATACTAAACAGCAAAAAGCTAAAAGCTTATCCTCTAAGATCAGGAACAAGACAAGGATGCCGTCTCTCCCAACTTTTATTCAACATGGTGCTGGAGGTCCTATCCAGGGCAATCAGACAACACAAAAAAATAAAAGGCATCCAGATTGGTAAGGAAGAAGTTAAAATGTCACTGTTTGCATGTGACATGGTATTATACATAGAAAACTCTAAGGACTCCCCTCAAAAAACTGTTAGAAGTAATAACTGAATTCAGCAAAGTTGAAGGATACAAAATTAATGCATAGAAATCTGTTACTTTCCTATATAGTAACAATGAATTAGCAGAAAGAGAAATCAGGAAAAGAACTCTATTTACAATGGCATCAAAAAGAATAAAATACCTAGTAATAAACCTAACCAAGGTGGTTAAAGATCTATGCTCTGAAAATTACAAGACACTCATGAGAGAAATTAAGGACACAAATAAATGGAAACACATTCTGTGGTCATGGATGGGAAGAATTAATATTGTCAAAATGGCCATCCTGCCTAAAGCAATCTACAGATTTAATGCAATCCCTATTAAAATACCCATAGCATTCTTCAGTGAACAAGAACAAATAGTTCTAAATTCATATAGAACCACAAAAGACACCAAATAACCAAAGTATAATCTGAGAAAGAAGAATAAAGCTAGAGGATTATGCTCCTTAACTTCAAGGTCTACTACAAAGCCACAAGTAACCAAAACAATTTGGTACTGGCCCAAGAACAAACCCATAAATCAATGGAACAGAATAGAGAGTCCAGATTTAAACCCAAGCATATATGGTCAATTAGTATATGATAAAGAATCCATGAATGTACAATGGGGAAAAGACAGCCTCCTCAACAACTGGTGTTGGTAAAATTGGACAGCTATATGTAAGAGAATAAAACTGGCTTACTGTCTAACTCCATACACAAAAGTAAACTCAAAATGGATCAAAGACCTGAATGTAAGTCATGAAACCATAAAACTCTTAGAAAAAAATATAGGCATAAATCTCTTGGACATAAACATGAGCAACTTCTTCATGAACGTATCTCCCTGGGCAAGGGAAACAAAAACAAAAATGAACAAGTGGGACTATATCAAACTGAAAAGTTTCTCTACAGTAATGGACACCATCAGCAGAACAAAAAGACATCCTACTGTTTGGGAGAATATATTCATAAATGATGTATCCGATAAGGGGTTGACATCCAAATTATATAAAGAGCTCATGCATCTCAAACAAAAAGCAAATAAGCCCATTAAAAAATGGGCAGAGAAGCTGAACAGACACTTCTCTAAAGAAGAAATTCAGATGGCCAACAGGCACATGAAAAGATGCTCCACATTGCTAATAATCAGGGAAATGCAAATCAAAACCACAGTGAGATGTCACCTCACTCCAGTTAGGATTGTTATCATCCAAAAGACAAGGAACAACAAATGCTGGTGAGGATGCAGGGAAAGGGGACCCCTCTTACACTGTTGGTGGGAATGTAAATTGGTTCAACCATTGTGGAAAGTAATATGGAGGTTCCTCAAAAAACTAAAAATAGAAATACCATTTTACCAAGGTCTTCCACTCCTAGGAACCTGCCCTTGAGAAAACAAGATCCCTGATTCAAACACCTGTGCACCCCTATGTTTATCACATCCCTATTTACAATAGCCAAGACATGGAAGCAACCTGAGTGTCCATCAGTAGGTGAATGGATAAGGAAGATGTCATTCAGCCATGAAAAGAAAAGAAATCCTACCAGTTGCAACAACATGGATTGAGCTAGAGGGTATTATGCTCAGTGTAGTAAGCCAGGCAGAGAAAGACAAGTACTAAATGATTGCACTCATTTGTGCAGTATAACAACAAAGTAAAACTGAAAGAACAAAATAGGAGAGTCACAGACCCCAAGAAGGGACTAGTGGTTACCAAAGGGAAGGGTTTGGGGAGGTTGGGTGGGGAGGGAGGGAGAAGGGGGACATTGTAATTCTCAGTCACCATATAGGTATGTCATGGGGAAGGCAGTAGAGCACAGAGACGACAAGTAATGACTCTATAGCATCTTACTACACTGATGGACACTGACTGCATTGGGGATGGTGTGGACTTGATAATAATGTGAGTAAATGTTGAAACCACAATGTTGTTGAGGTAAAACCTTCATAAGATTATGTATCAATGATACTTTAATAAAAGAAAAAAAAGAAACAGAATCCTCATTTAAAGTAAACTGACTTT